TCTCTTACCAAAAAAATATCTCCATAATTTTTATTTAAATTCTATATACATTTTATGGCTAAGTGTGTGTATTTCGGATGTTCCTCGGTGCCTGTGGACAACAGAGGCAACAAATGTGCCTAATGGCAGGGCATTAAGCTGAATCTATCAGGCCAAATTACATGCCCATGTCCGGGTCCGGGTCCGGGTCGGGGTCCATGTCCGTGTCCATGTCCGGGTTTTAGGTCTACGGGAGATTCGACTTTGGCCAAACAACAGCTTGGCACTGCGGTTGCTTAGGCAACCAGAAATTTGCATAAGCAGCGCGCATCAATTTGAACTCAAGTGAGCGTATAAATATTTTTATGCCAACGCAGTCGCAAAATGGCCTTAAAATCGGGCCCCATTTTCCTTTCCCCTCTGCTCACATTGCATTTGCCTGGAGTACAGATATTTGGGTTGCCTGCGGTCAAAAGTACATCGCAGCGTCACATTAATGTTATTATTATTATTATTATAATTTCGAATTCGGAGGACAGACATGCAGGCGGATAAGCCGGGATTTTGTGGTGAAATTTAATAGAATTACAACTGCATTTCTGCAGCTGCGCCCATCCCAAATGTTAATTAATGGGATGGCACACAATAGACTTGGATTTGCCACTCGTTTGCGGCTTCGATTGGATTGTTCATCAGTTGTGTTTGGTCAATGAGAAGTGAAATTAAAATTATCATTATAATAGGTAACACTTGAAATAAAGCAGAAATCAAAAAAAGAAAGGGAAAGGCAAGAGCACAGTCCTGATATTTAAGCTTTACCTCAGGAAATGCTGCAGAGAGAATTTAAGAGTCGATAAAAACTTGTTAATTAATCGCTTTAATACTTTTTTTTATAAATGGCATACTCATTTACAATATAGTATACCAAATTTGGATAAAATATTTATTATATTGATTTATTCTTCCATAAATTGCGTTAATTTTTTCTCTTTCCCAATGTATCATTCTTTTGTAGTGATATATTACGTATACGTAATCTGTCAGGAAATCGGTTAAACGGTCTGCACATTCAATATTTAATGCTAACTTGTTTTGAAGGATGAAAAATTAAAATATAAATTAAAACATAATGAATTAAAAATTGTATACGGAGGAACTTTTGTGGCATCGATGTAGTCTTTAAAACACACAATAAAATTTGGCAAACATCTAAAGAAAACCAATTTACACAAAAATTCAAATTATTAAATTTAGGTACATTTTTAAGGTGTTTTAAAGCCTTTAGAATTTACTAAAGAAAAAGTAAATAGAAAATAAAGAAAATAAAATATCTAGCAGAAAAATAAACTAAATTGGAACAATTAAAATACTTACAAATACTGTATCAATTTAAACACTTTTTTAAAGAGTTTTAAAGACTAAAGATATTTTTTAAAAGAATAATACAACCAGCAGTAAAATAAACTTCTAAGGCTCTAAGGAATATTATCTTTTACAGAGAATTGAAATACTTTTAAAATACAAATCTCGGGCAGGAGCTCTGTTTATTCTCGCTTACGTGAATCGAGCTGACAGTAATTAGAACTGGAAGGATGTCGCCCCTGTTATTGTTAGAGGACACCAGTTCAGCAGGACAACAAATGTAAATTGTTTTTGAACTCGGGCAATCCGCACGCATACTTACTGTAGGGAAAATGCCCTTTTGGATGGATTTGTCCCATCCTTCCCTACACCCAGCCAGGATAGCCAGGAGCAATCTGTGCCGTCCATGGCTGTTCTATGGTCTCTCCTTTGCCTTGTTTTAAGCCTTTTCGATTTATTTGCTGACCCAGTTTTCAACGCCTCTTGCCAGCTGCCTGGCAGCTCCTGGAGAGCTGTCTATAATCCAGCGATTACATGTGACACACGCATACGTTGCAGCTTATTTTTCATTTCTTCGACTGTCGCCGGAGGATCCACAGGCGCAGCTGTTGTGTTCCCTTGTAGTTTGCATAAATAATTGAGCTGTGAGAGAACGAAGATACTTCCGGCTAATCCCTCCAAATGAAAACGCCATGGATGGGTTAATTTTTAAATAAAAAATGTTTAATCGTATCGCTCTCGTTTGCTCTTTTTTTTGTTGTATTACAATATACTCTGTGGCGACAATCATCGACATCGACATCGACATCGACATCGGCACAAAAGACAAACAACAATCCTGGCTCTGTTTATTTTTTATCCGCCTGTTTACCTATAAAGCAAATGCTTTTTTATCCACTCCTCCACTCCGCTTTGTTTGCTTGCCTTTTGTTATTGTTACTATTTGTTTATTATTATTGTAATGCCTTGCTATGTCATATTTATGGTATGTTTTCACTAGTTTGCCATTTAGTTTACTCGTAATTTCAACAGTTAAAAGTAGTTCGTTTTACACAGTTCGATTGCTTTATTACAACTATATATTTAACCATGTCATTAGCCACACATGGTAGGTATGTATCTGTAAATTTACTTGACTAATGCATACGACTAGAGTTTCACTAATTAACTTTAATATACAGGAATTACTTAGCTGATGGCCTACAATTACATATACATACATATGTAGATTTATGTACGGCGCTTTAAAGGTTTATGGCAAATGCTTGTGGGCTTATGGAATTAGCATCTCATCGATTCAAAATTCCATATTGGCTGGCATATGTATATATTCACACTTAAACTGAACTATAGGTATTTATATATATATATATGTATATATGTATGTAGATTTGCGGGCGACTGTTTATATTTTTGATTGGTTACATTACGACTTTGGTTGCATTAACAATTAGGAGATTAGCTTTAAAAGGAAAAGCACAGATAGAAGAGTTAAGGTACATTTTATTCGGAAAATTGTTTTGAGAAGCCTTTAAGGATTTTAAATATTTAAAAAAAATCATTAAACTTTGAAAATATTTAATGTATAGAAAGCTTGTTGTAGTTAAATGTTTGTAAAATATATTTTTGAAGGGGATTAAAGCCATTTAAGTAAAAGGAACTTTTGAATAGCTTTAGAAATTTAGAAAAAATTATATCAAAATTGTTTAAACTTCAAATTTTCATTTAAGAATATTTAAAGGCTGGTAATATTTAAAAAGTCGTTAAAGTTTTAAATTTTATATTAATTTCAATATTTAAATCTCGCAAAATTGCTTTAAAGAATATACTTTCAAAAGAAACTTTAGCTGCATAGGTAAATAAAATTTCTTCATTTTTGTTGCTTCAAAAATGTTTTAAATTTTGTATAAATTATAAATTTTAAAATTGACCACAGTTTTTAATTATCTTTGCAACCAAAGCATTAGTTTTTAAGCTGCAGGATGGGAAACAACTCTATCTGCACTTACTCAGATAATGTGTTCATAAAATCAGCTTATGACTAACATTATTTTTACAGCTTAATGGAAATTAATAAAATTAGTTTTGCCTTTTATGTGGCAGCAATAAACAAAATGGAAATGCATACTCGTAATACGGAATTATGTTTAATTATAATTGTGTCCAAACATAAAATGGGGGAAATCACATCAAGGGGTCTTAGCCTCGCACAATTTAATTGTTCATCAGTTTGAATTGGTTATTGCTCGATTGGTTAATCTGTGAGTTTGTTTTGCAAAATTGTTGTTTTATAATTATAACAATTATGTCTAGCATTATTTTGCGGCATGTCAATGGGATGTTTCTAATCCTGAAAAATATTTGTTATATTTTTTTGCACATTTTATAACGTAATTAAATCAATTTATTCGGTTGAATTGGACATTGTTTTTTATGGTAAATGTTTTTTGTGACATTTTCGACACTTGTAGTAATTAAAATTGGGGAAAAAATAAACTAAATTAGTTATTTTTAGAATTTTCTCAGTTGGTGGTAGTTTAATATAAAAATATAGACTTTAATTATTAGTGGGGAGATAAGGAATAAAGTTTATCCATGTAATATGAAAATTTGATCAATTTATACATACTTAAATAAATTTGACTTTAAAGTTTAAGGGAATCCACAAGTATTTAAATAATGACCAAAAGAATGTTGCCAGAAATTATGATAAACTTAAATTAATATCATTGCAATATCAAATTAAATAATTTGTATACTTTTATTGTGGTTTCATAAAGCAAGCAAAATCGAGTTTACATTTGGTTTGGCGTAAAATTGCGCAGTGCAAATATTTGCATGATATGGCAATCAATTTAAATGTTTTATGACTCACTGCTGCTCCCATTTTGTTTCTGTATTTGGCCTGTCTACGTTTTTATCTAATTATTTAATATTGAGCCCGGGACTAGCGCACTGTACACTGCACATTATTTGATTATTCATTAATTTATTAAAAGAGCCGGAGCCACATAGATTACTCATTCCCATTTGTGATACATATTTGCGATACACTTTTTATTTTATTTTACTTTTTTGTTTGCTTGCTTCGGTTTGGTTATGCCATAATTATGTTTAATTTTTGTATTTACACATATCTTATAGTAAATTTTGATTTTGTTTAAATATACACATTAAATGGTAATCAATTAGCTTACACAAAGTAGTTTTCTATATTTACAATGCTTTACAATGGCTTCGGGGGGTGGAGGAAAGGGGTTGGATATATAATCCAGAAGTGGGGATTTTTAATACTTTAATTAACAATGTTTAATGAAGATATTAATACATTTTTTTGCGGATTAATAAGTATAAAATGGAAATGACACACATGTAACAAAGGTTTTTAATAGTTGAGCGTTTTTTAGGGAAATAAAAATACGGAAATGATGTTATAAATAATAAATAATTAATAAATATGTAAATATAGTTAAAGAAAATTATATTAGTTGTAATGAAGACTTTAAAAAACAATACCAAATTTTTAAAGTTTTTTAGTGCTTTTAAATTATGAAAAAGTTGTTTTTTAACTTTAAACATTTAATTCCTTTAAGTGATTTCATCTAAAAGCTCAATTTTAATGCTGTTCCTAAAAAAGCAATAAAGTATATTGGCTCTAAATTATGTAAACAAGTAAACAAAAAACATTTTAACAAATATTCAATCAAAGAACTTTGGGTTTTAAATCGATTGATTGTATTAATTGTAGCCTCTCACTTAGCCATTGTGCTGCATTGTTTACTGACTTATTTATATTTATATACTTATGTATATTTATTTATTCTTTCCGATTACGAGTTTAAAACTGACATTCTAAATGGCTGATTAGCCAGACACACACAAAGGACCATTCACTCATTCAACCATTTTTACTCACTCGCGCTCGCACTCACATTTCATGTGTGGCTTTAAATTACTTCTACTTAGTTGATGTTTTCGCTGTCACCGTTCGATCATCTGTGACAGGACCTCTTGGCCAGGACCTGACCGGAGCAGGCCTGGCGACAGCTCTTGACCGCTGGACACCGCTTCCTCGTCGTCGCTGTTTCTGTGGTTGCTGCTGATGCTGTATCACTTTCGCTGGCTGCCATCTGTGTGCCTGTTGTCGAGGATGACGGCAAGGACGCTGGCAGGATGGCACTGCACTGGCGACTGTAGCAAAGGACGAGGCCCAGCAGCAGGACAATTGTCAGCCAATTGTACTGACAACCGGATGAGCCAGTTTGCATTGCCTCCGGATGTTCACCTGAAATTATGGCCCGAACTAATTTCAACTTTATTGCATTGTCTTGAGCTTACATGTTAAATTTGTACACGGAATAAGGGGGAAATGCACCGAAAAAATAGGGTGTATAGAAGGGATTTATCAGCAGTTAAAGGTTCAAGAGAGAGAGAGTTCAAGAGAGAGATATAAAATAATATTAAAGGATTATGCTTGTTGAGAGAAAGTTATCTTTGTTTCTTGCATATTTTTTCCAGTGTCTTGGCAGCGGTAAATAAAAGCCAGTGTACTTGCGAACAAGTACAGCCTCGAGTTCAAGTTGTATCCGTGTTTGCCGTATCTGTATCCTTATAACTCCTTGAGTCAGCGTGCCGTAACAAAATTGACCGTCTTTATTTGTTGCGCTCTGTTTGACCACTCGCTCAAGTGTTTGTGTGTGTACATGCAGCTGTGTGTTTGTTTGTGTTGGTACATAAATATTTAATTAATGCTGCAGTGTTTAGTTTTGGGGCCAAAGGAGCCAGGGGAAATCGCCAGACATTTGTGATTTCTGCCTCGACAAACTTGGTGTCAGTCGAAGCGTATGAAATATTTAATCATCAAACTGCCGTCGACCATCGAATAATTAGCTAATTTCTCTTCAGCCTTTTGTGGTGGTCATTAATAAATTGATTTGGCAGATGATTTATCTGTAGTTTACCTTTTCTCTTCACGATACACACGCTGTAACCGTTTAATTGCTGAAATGAAGTGGCCCTGTTAACACACGTTGTATATATCCTGGGGCCTAGTATCCTGGGGGGAAGGCTCTTGAGAGCACGCTATGGCCAGGAAACGAGTGCATAAATAACACAAAACAATTGCCCATCTGCCGTAACACCTTGAGTCCTTCAAGGACTCTCACACACACTCACACAATCTCCTATGTATCAATGTCCTTGTAATTGATTGAGTTGAATTTTTCAAGCAATTAACTTTGGCACTTGAGTCCAACTCTACAATGTGCAAACAAACTGAAATCCCTGTTTCCCAATGATGTAATACATGGCCAAAATGCGTATGCGTGATGTGAGCGAAGAATGGGTTGTGCTGTAATACACGGCGTATGCGTGATGTGGGAATAGCTTCGTTACACCAGAGATGTAAACAGATTGCGTGGGTCCTGGCCCCGGCTCTCTTTCTCTCTCCTCTTTCTCGCTCTCTCTCAATTCAAATTTCGTTTGTTATGTGGGTAGAACCATGAGAAGGATGGCCAATAAATTTGGATGCCGCATATATCGCCTAGTTGCCTAGTTGCCGGCAGACACAAACATATCACGCATACGCCATGGTGGCGGTGGCCCCACTCGTGGGAAGTAGATGTTGCGGCACAAGACAATGTATATTTGTTGACAGCCCCGGAATTATTAATAACGTACGTGGCGCACATAATTCATCATCAGAACAGAGTGAACCCATAGACCTTCTCTCCTCCTGTCCCCAGACGACGCTGCATAACTTAAATATCCCAAGGGCTCGAGAGTACGGCTGTGAAAACACAAGTCACAAGCCGGCTTAGCCAAACAAAAGGCGAATAAAGTGCACAGAAATTTCTGGTAAGATGGAACAGGGGAAATGTAAAGGAAAAAAATTTGGCTCTAACCACAAAAAAAAATGTAGTAAAATGGTAACTGAAATATGCAAAATTAGCGCTGATGGATTTTCAGGAAGGAAGCCGGTCATGGAAGGATGCTGCTAAGCAACTACCAAGTTCCAGACTCAAGCACACACACACACTCAGAGAGAGAAAGAGAATTGGAGCTCAAGGACGAAGGACTCGGCTGCATGCACGTAGTTTCGAGTGTTTTTACGAGCAGTTTTGCATACTTTGGCAGTATTTTCACATTTTCTTAAACGCGCTTTGTTTGTGCAGTTTATGCCGGATGGCGGATGACAGCCACTCGTTCAGCATTCAGCATTCAGTGTTCAGTGCTCAGTGTTCAGTGCACTTTGCAAGTGTCTAAAGCCTCTGGAGAGCGACATAAAGCTGCGATTTGGCTTCGCTAAGAACCATTCAATTAGGCCACAATTGCCACCCTCTTACCCTCGCTTACACTTGATGCGATTTCTTTCCTCTGCCCAAATGAATTACACAGTTCATTAGCGCGATTGTTTCGTGCTCAATTGAGCCAGTAAATATTAAATAATTTCCATTATCAAGTGCAAACAAGACCAACAGTACCAGGAATGCTCTTGATTGCCATTAATTTGTGATTTACATGAAGGCCCAGAATGGAAAGTCATTTGAAAGCAGACTGTTGAGTCTATTAATTAACAATAATATGCTTGAAGCTGAATTTTGGTAAGATTAAGTTGAATTCCATAAGAGCATTTAGACTTACTTTGGAAATACATCGAAATATATACAGAAAGTTTAAGTCAAATTGCTTTATAATTTAAAAATAAATTCAGGTTTACTCTGTAAGGCCCTAAATAAAACCAAGCTAGCAAAAGATCAAGCAAATAACACTCAATTCAGAAACACAAATTTAAATATTATACACAAATCAACTTTAAGAAAAATAAAGTTATTCTTTTGCAAAATGCACAAAAAATTTAAGGATTTGTATTTCTAGGCCTGCACATTTTGTAAAACCAATAGAAACACCATCAAAAGAATACAACAAATGTTACTTGTTTGAATATTCTTCTCATTTCTAGTAAAAGTACAATTTTATTTCATTTTTCCCTAACACAACAAAAGAGATATCTTTCCTAATACCTTAAAATCTCTGAATGATTAAAAAACTCTTCATTTTTATTATCACAAGCATTCTGGTCAAACACACAAGTTGTGCCTGCCAAGCCGAGAATTGTTTATTCTGTTTGTTGCAATTTATGGGTCCTTAGTTTTTACCATATATGTATGAAAGAGTTAAATGTCCTTCTCTGCTCGAGCAGCTGAATCCTTGGGCTTGGTCTATTGTTACACTTTGCGTGCTTTTCAATTATGCATTAAACTATCGCATATATATATCGCAGTGGGTTATAAAAACGCTTTGCTCCTGCTGCCTGACACTGTGCACATCCGGCTTGGTCATGATAAGCATTTTACGGGCTTTATCGCCGAACACGGAATGGGGTCTGAAAGTTGGGTGTATGGGAAAGTGGGAAAGTGGGAAAGTGAGGAGCCTGAAGTCAGGAGTCAGAAGTCAGGCTGGACGTTTCGTTGAGGTGGTATTGCATTCCGCGGAGTCGCTTTTAATACTCTTTCAAAGGGGATAACTATTGCAAGAAAAGTTTAAACATATACTTCTCTCTTTTTTAAAAAAGAATAAAGTCAGGTAAGCTCAGGAAATAAGTTAAATAAATATAGAAACACATTTTTATTGGTCTAATATGTATTTTTCCAAGCAAGACTTTTCATTTAGCAATTTAAATAAGAAGAAAAACCATTAAATAAGCTTTAGAACATTTTATAGACAATTTTATAAGAGAAGTCTAAACCTGTAGAATTTCTACAAAATATTCAATGCATTAATATCTATAATTATAATATTACACACACTCTTTAAAGTTCCCCCGACTATAATTATTTGTCGTTCAAGGGTATTTTATGCTCCTGTATCCTGCTGGCAGGACTTGCCTTCCTTTTTATTTTCCACTTTGCTGCAAGTTTATAAATAAAATGTGCATATGTGACACTCGTGCACGCAACGCCAGTGGCAAGGAGTTTTGTTGGCGAACGGAAAACGGGGCGTGGCAGCGAATACCAGAGCGCGAACAAAAACCGGAAGCCATGCATTGCCCTCCGCTTTTCCTACCCACTTCTTCCCGCCAAAAAAGCTCGCCTGTTTTATTATTGTTTTTTGTTTTTGGTTTTTTTATTTTTTATTTTTCTGCCACACGTTGCGGCCTGGACTAAAAGTTCTGCCTCGCCTTTCGCGCTTGTTTTTCATCCTCTGCGTTGACATCTACGTCGCTGTCATTAATTTTAAGCTGCACGCTTTTTGGGGCGGCCGCCGAGTTCAAATTACGCGTTATCCTGGCCGCGGGTATCCTGGCAAAAACGAGCAACTCCCACATTTGCATTCTGCAATTTGGAATTTACCTAAGCTTCTGAGTTGCCGTGAGGCAAACATTTGGTTGTTTGGCAAAAATTGAGCAGAAAGTTTTTCGCCATTTTGGTGATTTCGCATACAATGCGGAATACTTGAGTTAAGGCTTTGGCCAAGTATGACATATTTATTATTGTTTCAAAGTTGTGTTTATCGTGGGATTACTTGAGGCGATATATGCTTAAAATTCTCCAAAACTTTGGTTATAAATGTTTAAATAATAAATATAAATATTATATACAAATAAGTGGAGATTTAACTGTATGTTAATTTAATATTTTTGGAATTTATAACTGCTTTTAGTTCATTTAAAGAATATATTTTTGAAAGAAAATCCTTTAAATACTTTTCAAGATTTCTTTTTAATTTGTGTAGTTTTCAAACATTTCTTCTAAAATATATTAAAGACAATAAATAGTTTTAAAAGGATTTAAAAGTTTCAAAATCATTATTCCCACCCATTATTGCCAGGCAGTTTTCTTTTGTAAACTCTGTCTTCTGCTGCTTTTTATCGACATTTTTCCCATGAAATGCCCTAAAACTATAAGAAAATCCCAGGCAAGCGACAACAAGTGCAGGTAGAAAATCAGTATCTTGCCGGAGCACAAAACTTTTGCAAAAACTCCACCAATTCAGTTTTAATCAGTTAAAATGCCTGTCTAAGCCGTATAATAGGGAATGAGTCTCAGTGTCTCAGCATTTCTCATTCAAAATGTAATTTAAAAGTTTGCATTTTCATTTTATTATGTACATATATACGCACAAATGTATCTGCTGTTGTATTTTCTTGTAGATTTCGTTTTGATTTTATTTGGCAGAAAACTATTTGGAAAAGTTTTGAATTTAATGCGCAAATACGTATTATGGGAGGGCATATATATATACTTGAATGTTTATGTATATATATCTATATATATCTGTTTAGAT